CTCTCTCTCTCTCTCTCTCTCTCTCTCTCTCTCTCTCTCTCTCTCTCGGCCAGGATAGCCTCAAACTTGTGATCATTTTCCTGCCCCAGCCAGGCATGGACTCCCATAACTGACTTGATGACTGTTTTGACAGGCATCCTGCCACGTTAATCTAGCTTTCTGACTTTGTACTGTAATGAGCACCCCAGGAATAGTTAGGTTTTATAACAACACGTAAGATTTGGAGGGGCTCAACAAGGGCCACTGATGCAGTATTTGCTTATTGATTTTTTTTCCCTGGTACCTACCGCTCTCTGATTGGCACAAGGAGAGCTCTCAAGAGATGCTCCTGTGTTACCCGCAGCTGCTTCAGGAACAGGACCACAACAGGGCCCTTAGCAGCAGCAGGAATGAATCAGTTTGGCAAGAGGATGCTCTTCTTTATCTAGGGAGAGATAAATGCCTCAACCTTAGCCCACAACAAGTCATTCTGAACCTCTGCCAGGCTGCCACTGCGGAGCAGTGAGCAAAGGGGCGGAGCAGCCAAGAGCTGGCTACATTTGGTTTCACAATCCGAGCATCTGCCTGAAGACACGACCCCACCACCTTCCCTCCCTGGGGAGCCTGCCAGCACCTAACCCTCGCAGGACAGCAAATACTTCCTCCCTGGGGAGGGAAGGCGATCAGAGACTGCAGAGTGGCCAAGCCCAGAAGGAACCCTCCATTTGATCTAGGTTAGAGGTCAACACAGTTTCCATCAGAACCCACAGTTCTTTCTAAGAGGTAAAGAAGCTTGCTGACAATGAACTGGTGTGTGTGTGTGTGTGTGTGTGTGTGTGTGTGTGTGTGTGTGTATGTGTGTGTGTGTACGTGCGCATGCATGTAGACACTAAGAGGCAGAGGAGATAAAGACAGAAACAGGCAGGTGGGCATAAGGAAGGGTTGAATAAATGAACATTCTCTGTGATGGATATAGAAAATGTGTTCTCCCACAAGCCAGTCCACAGCTAACGAGCACATCGGAGAGGTTCGACTTTGTGCCCGTTTTCCTCAGTGAATTCCAGCCATTACTTGAGAGCACTTCCCAAACAGGATGATGCTGCACAGTAAGTGGCCCCAGGGACTGCTTCCTTCAACCTTAAATCAAAAGCCATTACTACTGTCTGACAGCTGCTTGGCTAGTTCACGGCAGTAGCTTCCTGCATCCCATTGCACCCTTGACGGCTCCTGTCAACTGACCAAGTCAGCTGGAGTTGCTTCTTTGGTGCCAGGGGACCTGAAGGGACGCCTACCTCAGGTGAACCCTGCCTTTCATCCCTCACACCTTCCGAGTCCTTACAAGTCTGAGCATGACCTGCGGGCTGAACACACCCAAGCTAGGAAAGTGGATCAGAGGAGATGAATGTGTACTCATAGTCACGTGAGCCTTGCAAATCTCTATTTCAAGTCACTCAGATACATCAGCGAGAGTATGTGTGAATGTTCCTATTTTCCTCACACTAAAATACAATTAAAAGTTCAAGATGAGCCAAAAATTTTACACAGTCATCTAG